AATTCCATGCTCTGATTATGCAGGAATGTTAGCAGCGGTTCCCTCTCCTTTCGAGCCGTGTGCCACAGCACAGGAAGGTCTGGGAGCTTTTCCACCCACGTCCTTACAGGGCCGCTCCACTTTGAGGAGATGCGCTTTCCAACCTGGGGCTCATCTCACGGCACCGGGTCAGACAATGCCTACGTTCTGGTTACATGTAATTCAATGAACCAAATTAATGGAAATTTTAAATAAAAAGTTTAAACAATCAAGAGTTTAAAAGAAACCCTGGTTTTCCTCAACATGCTTTTAAAATGCATTTTATCCTAAAGGCGGTGAACAGATTTGGACTATGAGCATAAATTATGAAAAAGAATCACCTGGTTTTTTTGTCCCTCCAGACTATGAAATGACCGACCTTACAAATAGCACAGTAGGGCACCGTCACTGGATGAAAGCCGGCGATTCTAGAATCTCTGGGTGAAGTGCAGTCGGTCTGGCTATGTCACCTCCAAAGCAAAGCAGAATCTCTGCCCTCATCAACTAACTCACCGAGCAACCTGCTCTGACGCGTGGCCCTGCTTCCCAAGCGCTCCGTCCTCTGACGGCTGTGAACCTGACTCCAAAGGTCTTGCTGTCATGATGACACTCGAACGGTTGGAGCCCGGGATAGCGAGCAGCGCTGGGCAGGGGGCAGAACGTCCCCGAGAGTCATTGGCAACCCTGACGGTATCAAACACCCGCTTTTGCTGGGTCCTGTTAAAAAAGGAAATGTTCATTACTGCCACAGCGCTTTAGAAGAGACATGCAAGTGCAGTTTGCTAAAAATACAGGGTTGCTGAATAGCCTCTGAAGTTTAATGCCGATTAAGAGAAGTCCTAAGAAGGTAAGCTCGAGAGCAAGAGAGCTCTCACCAATGAGTTTTGTTCACCATCAGAGGGAAAACGAGACAGTAAGGCATTCACGTTTATTCTCACGAATTCTTATTTCTTTGGATTGCATCTTTTTATTCTCGTCCAATGCCTGGGTAACAATACATGTGATCGGCACTTACTTTTGTTGAAAGAGACACGAGTTCTCATCCAATGTGAACTTTTTACGCATGGTCCCCTCAATCTCAGCTGCCAGAGATTCCTAAGCAGAAAGAGTATGAGGTTTCTAAAGGGATCAGATAAGAATCCCGTTAAAGCAAAGGAATTGCCCTCAAATCACTGGAGAGAATGTCTCCGACCCCCTACTTGTGGTATTTTAATAAAACAAAGCCTAAGAGAAGTCTCAGACATTTTAGAAAATTAATTTTTGAACATAAACCATCTTTTCAAGACATATTCTATATAGGAAAACAGAAAAAAAACCCACTATGATTTTAAAAAAAGACTATCGAGTTGATTCTGACTCACAGTGACTATGCACTGGGTTTCTGTGACTGTAAATCTGTATTGGAACAAAAAGCCTCATCTTTTTCCCAAGTAGTGGCTGGTGAGTTTGAACTACTGACCTTATAGTTAACAGTCCAATGCCTAACTCACAGCGCCACAAGGCTCTTTATTTTATATATAAAGACACAAAAATGAAAGGTCTGAAAGGACGTAAACCAAGATGTTAATAATTCTCTGGAGGATAGGATTTCATGACACTTCATTTATTTTTGCTTTTCTACAGATAATTTCTAATGTTTCTGTAATAAACATGTACAACTTCTAAAATGGAAAACTATCATTAAAAACAGAAAAGCAACCTTTCCTTCCCCCTGATCAGGGCAGGGTATTCCAGCAGAAAGGATGCCATGCTCTTGACTTGAACAGATACAGCTGTCTGAATATCAATATGGATGAAACAACATACTGGGTGTGGGCAAGTAGATACTGAAGTGAAACTACTCAGTTATGGTTCTTCTATCCATAGCCTTAGTAATTCTCACCAAATGACTGGGTGGGGACATGCAAATAAAGCGTAGAAGACTAATAGGGGATTGGTCGGTTTTGCCATTCCCCTGGGCACACATTGAGCCATCTCAGAAGCTGGTAGAGAGAATCCAACAGCCACCAAAAAGAAGAGCCAGGAGCGCTTGTTTTGAGACCCTCCTTGGAGAGGCTGCAGGGGCGCAGCTCCATGACAGCCAGATAGAGTGGCAGCTTTTCAGGCCTATGGAGTAGAGCCGACGGCCTTCAGGTAGGAGGCTGGCTTAGAGAGTAGGGTGCCCTCAAATCACGTACCAGCACTAAAGGAGCTTTGTGGCACACACTTGAGCAGGGTGGACGCCAAGGGACCACGAGGCTGAGAACAAGAGAGAGATGTGCCTACAAGCATGGCGGGACAAAAAATTGTATTGTGAACATTTCTGATCCTGATTGTAACCTGTTAGTTCCTAAGGAACTGGGAGTTCTGTATGGCCACGGCAATGGATGATCAAACCTTACAGCAAAGCAAAGTGTTGCGGGAGGGATGCTTGGGGTCAAAGCACAGTCAAGGAAGTGGGAGAGTGGAGACATGTCTGACCTCTGCCTTGTGGGATCAGCCTTGGGCTGATGTGGACTTTGAGTCTCCTTCCTCTGTGTGTAGACAGAGGAGGTCAGATGTGGCCCCCAAACCATTTCCTTCATGTCTAAACATTTCCCCACCCTATCTGCTGAGAGGTTCTAGCAGCAATGCTCTTCCAGTGACAGTGGGCACTGTTAGCATGCAGGTCACAGAATCGAAATATCATTCCTCATTAAAAGGGACCAGAGATCCCTGGAGAAAGGACTGATTTAGGATTTGGGACAGAAAGTACGACAGCCTTTTTTGCCACAAACAAAGGACTCAAAGGATGATGCTGTTGTTCAGTGCCATCCAGTCAGTGTCGGCTCAGACTGAGCCTTACAAACCAGGACGAAGCCCGGCCTGCTCGGAACCACCCTCACATTGTGTTATGCCTGTGCCCAAAGAATGAAGGGGGCACGTCATACAGGAACCTGAAGGAGCCTTCGAGTGGCCAACTCTAGGACAGTTTGAGAACAAAATAAACAACAATGATGGGAGATTATACGAATGGGAACTGAGTAAGAATCCACCTTCCTGTGGGAAAATGTGGCAGACACTACACTACCTAAATAGTGTGATCAAAGTTACCGCCACCAGATACGGAATAAATATGCCTCAGGCCACAGCATCGCTTGTGTGCTATGTCTGCCCAAAGTGCACTCCCTGAATCTAATCTGGAGGAAACACACGACAAACTCAGATGGAGCCTGTCTCTAAAGGTATGAAAGGCAAGCAAAGAGAGCAGAAATGTCCCAGATTCAAACAGCTAAATGCAATGTGTCCTTTAAAGGCTATTATTTTGATAATTAATAAACTTTGAATGGGTTCTGTGGCTCTATCTGTCATACCAATGCCAGTTTCCTGGGGTGCAGGTTGTACTGTGGATAAGTAGGAAAGTGTCCTTGAGGATGTCCTTGCTTTAAAGCACACACATTCAAGAGCAATGGAGTGTATCTGCAGCCTGCCCCTTGAATGGCCCAGGAAAACGAGACAGAAGGCTATGATTAAGGGGTAAAATGTTCAAACCTGGGGAATCTCGGTGAAGAATACATGATAGTTCTTTGTATTATTCCTGAAACTTCAAGTTTAAAATTACTTCAGAATAAAAAAATTAAAAAACAAGCAAAACATACTGTATGTACCATGTCCTTAAGAAAAAAAAAACAACTAAAATTTATACTTTTTTTCACAGGGTTATTTAAGATCTAAATTTTAAAAAGAAACCAGGATAAAAAATTAGGACCGAGAGGAAAAATTCTGAGCAAGTTTAGACATTTCATTAAGAAAAGTACTGATGAATTAAACATGATCCCTGTCCTCGTGGGACCTACCATGCTCAAAGAGGCTTCAGATCGCCCAGGCCCTATTTGAATAAGTGGTGCGTGAAGAGCCTAAGATAAAGGTGACGGACATTTAAGTAGTTCCAGGATAACCGAGACTAAAATCTGATTTCCTTGGCATTCATTCTCATGTCTTACAACCGATTCGGAAGGTCATCTGCTGGCAGGATGGCTACAATACATAAGTACAAGTTACGGCCTCAATCAACATTAGACTCCAGGACCAAGGACAAACGATGCTCTCTCCTTCAGATGCTCTTCACCATCATAGACCACAGAGTTCTCAGGGAAATCTAATCTTAAGCAAGTTTCCCTAAATCCATTGCATCTTCTTCAGGTCCTTACCCCAGAAAAGTCTCCATAGGACTGGGAGAAATAGAGATGGGCAGCAGGCCCAGCTCTGCTCCGGAGTTCCTTTATTTCTTCTTGGGATTCGTGGAGCATTCCGAGACATTCCATATTCCTATCTTGCAACTCATGCAGCTGAAAGAAAAGACGGTTCGTGTACTTGACTGTCTTCTCAAAACAACAATGGGAGTGGGGGAACCCCACTTACGTAAGTACTAATTTTATTCAGAGGACTCACTACATTTCAGAACACTATTTTAATGTACAAACTCGGCATGGAGTGCATGTATCCAAGCTATGAGACACTAGGACGTATTGAACAAGATTATTCATAAATGTGGTTCTGTAAAAAAGGTAAAACATAACAGAGACAAGCAGAACTTCTCTTCTGAGTATTTAATCCTTTACATCCTTAATAACTGGCAGACGGAGTATATAGCTATGGTCAAGTTAGAGTTAAGACAAGGTCAACTTTCCAAGATACCACTCTGAAGTCCACACCAGCCCACGAGTGGAGAGCATAACACAGGAAGTCAGAGCGCCTGGTCACCAGCAACAAGCAGTCGACACTCCCCAAGCCCATTTCAGGCTCTTCTTTGCCGATGGAGACTTAGGAATGAGAAGGAGACTGAAGACTTCAGAGTATATTTTAACTTGAAGAAATGTCTATGTGTACAGTTGCTTACATTTCAGTAGACATGTATCATATTCAATTAAACAAAGAGCTTCAGTATACGGTTTAGAACCTAAACCAAACTCACCCGGGGCAGAACTGTCCCAGAGTGTTTCCAAGGCTGTAATCTTTTAAAAAAAAATCATTTTATTGGGGGCTCCTACAACTCTTATCACAATACATACATCCATCGAGTCAAGCACTTGTACTTTTGTTGCCCTCATCATTCTCAAAACATTTGCTTTCTACTTGAGCCCTTGGTATCACCTCCTCATTTCCCCCCTCCCGCCCCACTCCCCCTTCCTTCATGAACCCTTGATAATTTATAATTTATTATTATTTTGTCATAGCTTACACTGTCCGATGTCTCCCTTCACCCACTTTTCTGCGGTCCATCCCCCAGGGAGGAGGTTTTATGTAGATCCTTGTAATCTATTCCCCGTTTCTACCCCACCCTCCCTCCACTCTCCTGGTATCGCCACTCTCACCACTGGTCCTGAAGGGATCATCCATCCTGGATTCCCTGTTTCCAGTTCCTATCTGTACCAGTGTACATCCTCATATCTAGCCGATTTATAAGGTGGAATTGGGATCATGATAGTGGTAGAGAGGAAGCATTTAAGAACTAGAGGAAAGTTGTATGTTTCATTGTTGCTACACTGCCCCTGACTGGCTCATCTTCTCCCCGAGACCCTTCTGTAAGGGGGTGTCTAGTTGCCAAAGCCCAAGGCTGTAACCTTGATGGACTCCAAGTGACACATCTTTCCCCCACAGAGTGGCTGGGGGGTGGGGGTGGGGTTTAAACTGCCCACCTGCCAATTTCTTAACCCCTGCACTGCCAGAGTTCCTGAGGTTTTGGAACACCATTTCTGTAAGTGTGAGATAATTAGAATCAGCAGGACTGGGATGTTTATTAAGACTGCAGATTCTAGGCCCTTACTCTTCATCCACTGAATTAAAACCTTCATTTAATACTTGCTCTCCCAAGTGATTTCTATGAATGTAAAAGAGCCACTACTTTCAAAGTTATATCTAACACAGCTTATTTTGAGAATTTTATTTACTTAACATAAAAGGTATAGCTAACACTTTTTTTGCGAGTATGTCCAGAAAAGAGCAACAATCTCTGACTTTCTGTCTATATAAACAGTTTCTAGCTACATAAATACTTGAATGCTGCCAAAAAGCCAGGACTTTTGGGGCTATTTTTCCTGACATACTGGCAAGCCCCTGTTCATTCCCCTCCCTCTCTTTGTAAGTGAAAGCAAGGAACCTTCATTGCATTACCTCCATCGTGAGTTGTCTTTGAGCCTCCTTGGAAGCTTGTAGGTGAAGTCTTAGTTCTTCCTTCTCAATCACATGCTAACAATATATTAAAAGAGACACGTTAAGTTTTCCCATCTCATGTATACTTTTTCTCTACAATAGCCTCAAAGTTTTTCTTCAGAGTATAGTCTAGAGCCCTCTTAAAGGTCATTCAGAACCTGAATGATCAAAAAACCCAAATCCATGGTCACTGAGCTGATTCTGACTTATATCGACCCTATATAGGGTGTCCAAGACTACACATTTTTATGGGAGCAGGCAGCCTCATCGTTCTCCCCGAGAGTGACTTGTGGGTTTGAATGGCCAACCTTGTAGTTGGCAGCCCAATGTTTATCCCACAGCATCACCAGGGTTCCTTTAAAACCTGAATAAAAGCAATAGAGTGGTCAGAAAATATATCAGCATGGGAGCAGGGAAAGGGTAAATGACTAACTAGAGGGTAGACACAGGTTAACTTGGACGAAGGGGAAAGCAGTCTGCAATAAAAGGGACGTCAGCAAAAACTGATGGGGGCAGGGGGACGATGGGAGTCCGAGAGTTCAAAGCAACAGAGGTAAAGACAAAGTCCCGCAGCAACACTCATCTCCGAGAGGACGCATGGGAGGCACTCAGACTGAGCAAGTGCGAGGACAGTGGGATTCTCTCATGACAATACGTAGGCATAACAGAATATTTTTACAAGTGTATTTATGTACCTATGCTGAAAATACATCCAAGAATGTGGTAGAGCATACAGGGAGCAGAGTTATGAGAATGTCCTAGATACAATGACCAAAAACCTGGAGGAAAAGAGTCGCTGAGCCTATGGGCTCAGGACCATAGTCTCAAGGGCACCAAGTTCAAATGGCATGACAGTGTTGTGTGTGTGCACACACGCAACTGTGTGTGTGTGTGTGTGTGTGCGCGCGCGCGCGCACCCAAGTCAGATCCATATTACAATTTAGGAAAATATAATCCCATTTGACAGAGAGAAATGGTGACAGAGGAATATTAAAACAGAAATCAGATTAAAAAGCCAAGTCCATGGGCTGCATCCAGCACCCTGCAGAACATGGGGAGTAATAGCTAACTGCTTAACAAACATCTGCGGAATGAAAATAAAACCTGCCTCTTTCAGTTTGTGCTGAAGGTCTACAATCTGAGACAGGAGGGTGGAGATCTCCTCTTGGTACCGAATCAGTTCATCACTCTTCCCTGACAATTCCTCTGTCATTCTGGACATCTGCTCATTGCTTTCACCTTGGAAGCAAAACAACACTTAAAGTTAATATAAAAATCGGGCAGGGCCAGCCATCTATGACCCTTGTTCCAAATCCTGTTTTATCACACACACGAGGGCCATCACAAGTACATTTCAATACACATTTAAAACAGAAACCCAGATTATTCAATTGAGAAACAGGCTAACGCTAGATTATTAAGCTAACAAGAGAGATGGCTTGTAAAAGGCAAGCATGCTTTTTACATTTGGTCCACTCCTTTTCTTTGCAAAGGATGACAAAGCTGAACGGCGTGGTAGACTCTACATTGTATCTACAAATGCCAAGAGGCCACTCATTTGTGTCTTGCAGAACTCTTCAAGGACATAAATCAAATCCCACAAGCAATGAAAATTAAGCTTAAGAAACCATATCAAGCAAACATTTCCAGGACGGAGCACTCCTCAGCTGTAACAGAATGATGCAGCTATTGAAATGCCTCCAGCGTGGTTACTCTAAGGCATCACATTATGCGGTCCGCAACCAAATGGACTGACGTGATGCCAACGTATCTTCTCTTCCAATGTACAAGTTTATATATTTATTAAAAAAATAAAATTCTTCTCCAGTATGTAGTAGATGGAGCACTGGTGGTGTAGTGGTTACACACTAGGCTGAGCTTCGCCTGGTCGGCAGTTCAAAGCCACCAGCAGCTTCTGGAGAGAAAGACTGAGCTTTCTGTTTCCGTAAACAGAGAAGCGGTTCTCCCTTTCACAGGGGTCACCTGATTCATAACATCAGCAGAATGAGTTATGATGTAACAGCAAAACTAATTTTATGGCTGGGGTCAGCACACATGAGGAACTGTATGAAGGATCGCAGCATCAGGGAGGTTGGGAGCCACTGCGTTAGTCTTGGAACCCACATGGGTCACTAACAGTCAGCAGTGACTTGATGGTAGTGACTTTTTGAGTGTGTAGTACTAGGGATTCGTTAGCTTAATACTATTTCAAGCCAAAACACACACACACACACATAGTTGGCATTTAATATAAGCTGGTAGTTTTTTAGCAGATTATCATTTTCACCTTTGACGATTCATACACGTTGCTTCGTCTTGTTCATGGCAACCCCCTCCAGGCAGCATCTCCTGTCCCCCCACCCCCTCCCTATATTTCCTTTCTCCATCCTTCTTAATCCTTCTAAATTTTATTCTTGGGTGGCCAAGGGCTGAAGTCTTAGGGTATCTACTAGTTCCTACCCAGCAGCAAGTCTGGACCGTTTATGATTTTGAGTTTTGTTCAACATCTCTTTCACACTTTGTCCAGGAACTTCTATTGTGAGCCCTTTCAGAGCATTAGTAGTGGTAGCCGGGCTCCACCTAGGGCTTTGGTTCTTAGGGTCAAACTGATGGTCACATGGTGCAGGAATTCACTGGACTATTCCCACTGCTTTCGATGCGCCTCCCTTTTTTCCTCAAGACAGACACCAACAGCTGCGCCTTCTAGAACTGCTCCTGAGCACGGCACGACGTGTCGCTACTCACCAAAACGGGACGCAGACTCTCGTAACAAGACTATGGCCTTGAGTTGTGCCAGAATGTTAGGGTTTCCATGTCATTAGTTGAGCCCTGCTCTCTCTGCTCACCAGTTTCCAACTTTGGCAACTCATAGCCTCTGTAGTTCCACTTCCTCACCGAGATGAGAGCTTTGTTTCTTTTTCCTCCAATGAACTATTTACTATTTTTAGAAATATGAGCCTTTTTAAATGATGACAAGTTGAAACAAAGGATCTTTCAAAGTACAAATAGTATTTTATTGATGATTGTGGGCTCTATGTGATTTTCAGTAAATTTTTATTTTGAATTCTGTTTCTTGAGGTGCTTCTACTGAATTCATTGATCGAATTTCTAGCTTACCAAAGAATCACCCCAGGGCTGCAAAATAAAATGATGTGAATACTTACGAAGTTCTTTAACACAGTCACTGACAAGCTGTTGTTCTTTCTCTTCGTAGGTAATAGTTTCTGTCTTGATGTTACAAGCCTTCAAGAAACGAGTCATTGGTACATTGGCTGAGTGCAATGAGTGCAGAGAAACAACCACACAAACCTTTCATTCTCAAAGGAAGATAAAAGTTCACCTCCTACTAAGGAAAACCACAACAAAAAATCCCATAAAATGTCTCCCAAAAATAAAGGGGGGAAAAAGACGTAACCATCTCTGCCTCACTCCTCTTAGGGCCTCTGGACATACCTGCCCCACCTACCTCTATCCTACCACCCCATCTATTTCTGAGCAGCCAATTCCTCGCCTCAGCTGAAATGTCACTTGCTTAAGAAGAAAGTTTCTCCTGAGCTCCTCAATAATACAATTTCACAGAACCTTCTAATTTGGGGCCATAGTTCATACACCACAGTTGTAAATACTTATTGTGCAAGTTTCTCAAAATATATTCTATATACTCCCTTTCTCTATGTCTTCCCGCAATCTATCAACTTTTCAGTGGAATCTCAGTAACAATGGAAGACAAGTATGAGGAAGCTTCAAGAAATCCATGGAAAACTTCCTTTATCTTTTCATTCAATTTTCCATGAGCCTTTTGAAGCCCCTTGTATATGTGCCTTGTCTACTACGCCTTAATTGGAACATGCATGGCAAATCCTTAGGATGTTCCAATCATGCCATATTTCACTTGGATCTAAACCTTGTATGTCCTTTAAAGTCAAAGTTCACGAGACTGAACGTACCTTAGATCGCAGAACCATATTCTCTTCTTCCAGCTCCGTGAGTTTCTCGTGCAGCATCTCCAGCTGCAGCAGGCCCTGAGATAAGCTGAAGGACTCATTGAAGCGGAGAGGGGTGGGACAACTGGAGTCCGTCTCACTCTCTTCAGACGCAATGGAGACGACTCGAAGTAGCTCTTCTTTCTTGGACAGCTCGTGCTGCAGCTGATTAACCTGTACATAGAAACCTTGACTTACAAGGTGTTCTTTGTTTGCGTTCTTTACCAGCAACGCAGCTTCAGAATCATGAAACAATTGTTTTCTACCATAAAACAAAAACAGTTTGCTGACTAAAGCAACAAGTGCTACAAAGGGAGTAACAACCAACCCGTAGACACTTCCTCAGCTACAATTTAGAGTATGAACTCAACAATACAGCTTTCCCACACAGAGAAAACTCAAAACCCACTGCCACCCAGTCAATTCTGACTCACAGCCACACTGCATGGGGTTCCTGAGACTGCACAGCTTTACAAGATGTCCAACCTCATCTTTCCCCCACGGAGCCGCTAGTGGGTCTGAACTGCTGGCTGACTTTCCAATTAACAGTGTCCCCCCTGTACAGAAACCAATTTTCATGTTCTACAGAATAGGAACATAGAATAAAGGATAATCATGCATACTCAGAAAACAAGCAAACACAAAACTGAAAAACTTCCAAAAGATCAGAATTGATCCCTACTGCAAATTCTCATTCCAACAATTGTATTTTTCTATGGTCTATAACTGCTTATCTTTTTAGGGACTACTGGCTTTTGTTTGGGAGAATATTTTTCACTGTAAAACTGAAATGTGATTAGCCAAGCATTTATAAAATAAAAATGAATCTGGGTAAGAATTAAAAGGTTATATAACATTTGAAATGTAGTCACTCTCATTATTAACAAATCACTTCTTACTACAAATATTCACTGCTATGAGGTAATTACATACATATATTTTTCTCTACTTTTTTATTTTGTTTAAGAACAAAGGTACCTACAGGTATTTGTGGACTTATTTTAAAAATAAATTTAAGATAAGGTCACAGAAGATAGCTGATGGTGCCTGGCTATCAAAAGATATATTATCTGGGGTCTTAAAGGCTTGAACAAGCAGCCATATAACTCAGAAGCAACAAAGACCACATGGAAGAAGCATGCCAGCCTGTGTGATCACGATGTGTCACTAGGATCAGGTATCAGGCATCAAAGAACAAAAATATATCATTGTGAATGAGGGGGAGTGCAGAACGGGGACCCAAAGCCCATCTGTAGACAACTGGACATCCCCTTACAGAAGGGTCGCAGGAAGGAGGTGAGCCAGTCAGGGTACAGTGTAGCAATGATGAAACATACAACTTTGCTCTAATTCTTTAATACTTCCTTCCCACCCACTATGATGATCCCAATTCTACCTTACAAATCCAGCTAGACCAGAGGATATACACTGGTACAGACAGAAACAGGAAACACAGGGAATAAGGACAGATGAATCTGACTGGACCAGTGGTGAGAGTGGCGATACTGGGAGGGTGGAGGGAAGGTGGGGTAGAAAGGGGGAACCGATTACAAGGATCTTCATATAACCCCTTCCCTGGGGGATGGACAAGAGAAAAGTGGGTGAAAGGAGACGTCAGACAGTGAAAGACATGACGAAATAATAATAATTTACAAATTATCAAGGGCTCATGAGGGAGGGGGGCAGAGAGGGAGGGGAAAAATGAGGAGCTGATACCAAGAGCTCAAGTAGAAAGCAAATGTTTTGAGAATAATGATGGCAACAAATGTACAAATGTGCTTGACACAATGGCTGGATGTATAGATTGTGATGAGTTGTATGAGCCCCAATAAAATGATTTTTGTAAAAAAGATGTCACATGCCACGTTCACAGAGAGGGGTGAGGAAACAGTTAACCATTCAGCCAGGTGACAGTGCTAGAGATAACAAGCATGGGCTCTTCTACTGCCTCATGCAGAGGCACATGTCCAGACCTCTGCATGCTAACTTTTCATTTCTCTACTGGTTTGTACATCAAAGCCAACAAAGCCAGTATGTAGTGGTGTTATTTGTCTGATGTTATCATTTCCAAGGTACCCTGATGAGTATGTTTCTTTGTTGCCCAATGCCTAATTCTTTCATGCTCTCAATATTGGAACAAAGGCTTACTTGATCAAAGGCTTGTCCCAATTGCTCCTCCAGCGCTTCATTCTGCTCAGATAAGACATGATTCCGCTTTAAGAGAGCTTGGCCAACGCGAGCTGCTAGCTCCAAGTCACGGTCCCTCTGTTAGAGCAACAAAGACACCTTTTTCTTTGAGTACAAATAAAAATAAACGATCGCTTAAAAACATCAATTTTGCTAATCCCCAAAGCAATGTCCCACGGAAGCATCAAGTTCACTTAGGTGTTTAATAAACGTGGGCCAAGGGATGCCCACTACAGAGAGCGCGGTAAGAGGACAGCGCTCTTCTTGATAAAGAGTGCAGCAAGTCCATCTCCAAGCTTTAAATTCAAGTTTGTGGATAGCTGGGGAATGAATCAGAATTAAGTTCTTCTACATGAAGATAAGGCCTGTCATATAATAAAAGTCCAATACGTATTTTTTTAATGCAATGGTCTATTAATTACATCAATGGTATAGAATTTGGTATTCTAGGTAAATGCGCTGGGGATTAGATAGGGTAGAAAATAGTTCCATGTACGGCAAATATTACATGCAAAGTCAAAGGCTTGCGGTACAGCACAGCAAGAGGCTGGTTGTCAACAGGCGCAAAATGATGATGTGAAATAAAATAGAGCATAGGGTTTTCCCTATACTCTACTAGAGACGGGAGCCCAGAGAAGTTGTAGTAATAATCTTCATCTTTCTGGATAGATGAGGACACTTAGGCCAGGGTATAAGGAATCCTATCTACACACGGGTGGTGAGGATCGTACTTTGTAGGATGGAAAATTGTGAATATATAGCTAACTACCATATATAGGAATAGGAGAGCTGGGTCATCAATGTAAATACAATTAAGTGTTTATCCTTTATTTCCATAGAACTAGAAAACAGAGGGTTGAATTATCTCCTAATTCCAGGCCTACTTGAGGTCTGTCATTTAAAATCTCAGCTAAGTGCTATACTTGGCAGGCATTCTGGGCACTGGAGGGAGAGGGGAAATGGGAACTTCAAAGCAAAGGCAGTCTCCCATTAGACCAACCTCTGCTAGGGTACGGGGAGCAACTTTGATGGCTTCCAGTTGGAAGAGATACACTACACGTATCCAAATACCATGGACAACGTGAGAGCAAATACTCATGTGCAAGTGAAGACAAACAGATGATGCCCACTACAGGCACTGATTTCTATGAAGCTGCTTTTTTAATAGGCAACTCTGTTCTATGGTGAGGGATTGCAAAGGGTTTTTCCTTTTGAAAAAAGTAATGCTTGTCTAGGGTTCGGGGGCCAGCTAGTACCATAAGCAAAAAGAAACCCTCTATAATTTCCCAACCACAAACTCCAGGAATCACTGTACTTTGCAATGACAATTGGCATGCTCGCTGTTCCAGCTGTGACAATCAGGTACACAACAATGCAAGCACAGACATCATTTTTCTTTGATGTAAAAACTTAATCGAATCCTACCTCAGCCAGGAGATGTGTAACCATGTCGATGTCATTGTAAGTTTTGGTCATCTGTTCCACCCTGTCGGTGCCCAGAACTAAGATAAGCAAAGAGAAGTAATTGTACATAGGCTTTAGAGATACATAACCAAGTTTCATTAAGAAATAAATGATGAAGAATACTCAGCTGTTATAAAAAGTCAATCAGTATATGCTTGACACAATGTATGTATGGATTGTGATAAGAGTTGCACGAGCCCCCAATAAAATGATAAAAAATAAAATAAGTCAATCAGGAAAATAAAAATATGTAAAAAAAAAAATAAATGTTTTCAGGTATCAGGTGCTCAGAAAATAGACCAATTACTATGGATATAATGTGTATCACACAGCATTTTAAAAAAGCATCGAATGACGGGACTAGGAGAATGAGGTAAATAACCAATCTTATTATACCCTAAACCAGCAGTTCTCAACGTGTGGGCTGTGACCCCTTTGGGGTCGCCTGATTCATAACAGTAGCAAAATGACAGTTATGAATTAGCAACAAAAATAATTTTATGGTTGGGGGGGGTCGCCACCACAAGCAGACTGTATGAAAGGGGGGCGCGCCATAAGGAAGGTTGAGAATCGCTGCCCTGAAGCAGATTGCCAGATCTCGCTCTGGAAGGGCAGTGGTGGGCTCCACAACCCCCTCCCCCCTCTCAGCTAGCAGCTGAGAACAAGCGACTGAGGGGTGAGGTAAGGAGGGCCGATAAAGTTAAAACAAATTCTAAAAATTAGAATTCTGATGTGATTATCTTGAACATCTATAATCAGTAAACAAGAAAGAGGACTTGTAAGCACTTGAGTAATTCAAACCCAACTTTCCTTCCTAGATGATCATTTAATGTAGAAGAAAAGGGCAACTATAACTCACCAGTGATTCCACAACAATAAGCAGCATCTTTTGAAGAGAACGATATAAGCTTGATGAAAGAGAAATACTTTGCTTTTGGAGCACACATTACAAGACCTGTTGTGCCAGCCTAGCAGTTTGTGCTTGATTAGAGCCAGTGTTGTAATGTTTGCCTCCGGCCATGAAAAGAGCAGGCTGTGAGAGCAGCAAAGCTGAATTCACGTATCTGAAAGAGCTTGACTGAGTCACCTAATGAGACTCTGACTCGGATTTACAATAGAGGTGACAGCGCTCACCGGGCAAGGTCACTAGGAACAACTGGAAGAATCTACAGATTATACTAAAGTATTACGGAAACCGCTAATCATTGTACAGCTGTTTACAATCCATGCATGAAATAGTCCAGACTTGAAATGTTCTGTAAAGATTTCTAGATACGGTGATTTAAGTCACATGTCCTCATTTCCTTAATTCCTTGGTCTGAGGTTAACACTTTAGGTTCCCACGAGACTTGGTATGAGCACTGTTATATATTTTTTATTTCTGATGCTATGAGCTCAAGGTTTTCCTTCATTGCTAGCCCCTTTTTATCTCACTGCTTTTTAACATCACTGCTTCTAGTAAGACTGGGACTATTGACATAGTACAGTCAAAATATCAACAACCCCATCCCCAAATTAAACGCACTGCTATGGAGGCAATGCTGACTCACAGCGACCCCCGGTGAGTTTCTGAGACTGTAACTGCTTATGGGAGTAGAAAGACCATGCCGATAGCCGTTGGGCCTAGTTAAACCTGTCTCCTGATCCACTCGCTCTGCAAATATGACCATTAACTTAGGTTAACATTTATTCCTAAAATTCATACTGTACCACTCTTCTGCAGACACTCGTGGATGCTTTAAGGGTAGAGAGGGGGAAACGTTTGTCCCCCAATGAAGATGGACGAACCAAAAAAGCCAAACTCATTGCTGACTCTTGATGACCCCCTATGGGCTTCCGAGACAGTAACTGTTTACAGGAGTAGAAAGCCCACTATTTTTTGAACTGCTCCTAATCATCAAATCTGCATTTGAGGGGTTTTGTAGAACAGGACTACTTTGTTGTCAAAAACGTGCTGGTGAGTGATGGCATCAGGTGGTAGCTGGGAAAGTTTGGAAATGAAAATAAGAAAGCTAAAACAAAATTGTATTAAGGAAAAAACAAACATAACTTATTTTTATAGGTAGAGAATGGGGCTCCATGATTTAACCATGGGGGTAATAGGCTTTTTCGACTCAGAAACTGTCACAGTTTACCGTGGTAGCATAGCAACAACTACGGAAAAAATATTTAAAGTGAGCACTTCTCTACTTCTAGTGTCAACAACAAAATGAGGCAAAAATCAAGACCAAATACTTCAGACGTTCAACTAATTATGGACAACCAGCCAGAAATCAATTGTAATTTAGAGCAAGCGGTATCCATCAGCTCCATGGGTTCTGACTTAATCTGTAGGAGTTTGCAAAGACCCCCAAGTGTTCTGATGCGGAGTTAGGGATGAAAACCACTCATCCACAAATCCTAGAGATCGCCTACAAACAGATTTTATAAAGCTCATTTAAAAACACAACACATGGCTTAAATCACGATTTGTCCAGAAGATGCAACGGCACATTTAATTTCAGAAAACACATAAACCAAAAGGTAAGCACATGACCTCATAAGAGCTGTGACCATCAGCCACCTAATAAAAAGGGAGAGACAGGAGGATGCAGTAACCCGGCAGATGTTAGAGCTGAACATTTTTGTGAGGAGAAATGAAGAGAGTCCCTGGAAATGCTTCCCATCGATCAGTCTGAACATTAAAAACTGAAGCTTAAGAGCCCATCTACTAAATGATCTCATTTTCTTGTCTGAGGAATCTTGACCAGAGAAATTAGGGCTCTGTCCAAGACCAAAAGGCAGCTGGTCACCAGGGGTAAAGCCAGGCTTGTAATAGGAAGGTGATGGTAACAGGTCTGCGCTTTCCCAGCCGAGAGCTCTGTATACACGGTGGAAATGACTCAACAGCAGCCAACAACAACCACCACCAACACTGGCCCTGGGGTAGCCCTGATGCTATAGTGGCTTACTAGCTGGGCTGCTAACCACAAGGTCAGCAGTTTGACACCACCAACTGCTCTACAAGAGAAAGGTGAGGCTTTCTACTCGAGTAAAGAATTACAATCTCGGAAACCCACAGAGGCAGGTTCACCCTGTCCACAGAGTGCCTATGAGTCAGAATTGACCTGATGGCAACGAGTCTGGCTTTTACATACATCTAAGCTGCATTTTCCTTCATATAGCCCAACTTCCTGGGATTATTTCTTCAACACACGGATTGAGTAAGTATGGAGACAAGCTGCAACCTCACAACATACCTTTCCTGATTTAAAAATTGGCAGTGTCCCTTATTCAAAAAGCGGATAGGTCAGGACAAGAGACCAAAGAAATGGTGTGGGGATGGTGCCTGATCTCCTCCCGCTACCCAAGAGGAAGGAGAATTGAATGCACACCAGCATCTCTGAAGGCAGATTCTCTAAGGCTGTTGTCAGATGTGCCTCCAGCCTTCCTGCCAATTCTAACACCAGCTGTCCCTCCCACGCCACGCTGTCATTTTCAGCTGGGCTCAATAATTCATTGCAGTGACCACACAGAACACACTGACAATACTCACAATTACAAGGTTGAAGGAAGTTAATAGGCCTCACATGCTCAGGATGCAATTATTCGGACAGGGCGGCCTCTCCTCAGCTGTGACTGCAGACAGGCCTGGCTCTCGTCTTTGGCCTCTCGGCTTTTACTTTTATCCGGTTCATGCAATGTTACAAAATTCTCTTAGGGGTGTCAATAAATGCCCTAAGGGCATGCTACTCTGCCATAAGCCCCAGTCTGAAAGTCTTCAGCTCTAGCTCCATGGTCAGCAAATACAGCTCCTTCAATTAAGTGCCCGTAGGCACCCCATTCCACATGGCGGCCTCCTTCCTGCAGGCACTCGGCTTTCCGTGCTCTGGGGACTGAGCTGTCCACTGTCCCGTGCTCTAGATCTTGCCTGTGCTGCTGCTGTTCTCTAGCACTCCTCTGAGCTCACAGCTGCTTCCTGGATCAAGGAGGTCTATGAGCAGATACCTCGGCGTCCAAAGGATGCATTCTACTCCTGGCGCTTCTCTGCTCCTGGCAGTTAAGGTCCTCCCTGCCTTCCGGATTCTGAAATGGCTCATTTTACACCCAGCAGGATAGCAATCACAACTAGCCAGCCACTCCCAGCTGACTTCCCCCACCTTCTCTTACCCAGACCCTCCAGGAAAAGGTCATGTGGTGGGAGTGACAAGACCATGGCTAAAAGGGACATAGTAAGTAATTCACTGCGCCGCACAAGCTATTCGTTGAGCATTACAAGCAATCATTTAAATATTAAATAACTTAATTACTTTTCTTAAAGTTCCCCTTTCTACTCAATATCAAGTAAAAGGTGAGAGAAATGGGAACATCGGAGTATGCTTTCAACTTGGAACACTCAGTCACAAGCACAAACTCCGGGTACTCAGCATAATTAATTTATCTCTTGATATTGTTAAATCAGACACAGCATAATTAATTTATGGGCTCAATAATTGATAGTGTTAAATCAGTTCGAGTTGAAGTGAGGCCAAGCTGAACAATGGTGAGAAAATCCTTTTTTTTTT